TCGTGCTACTCCAATATCCAACCGTCGAAGTCCTTCCATTTCTCGCCAACCGACGTTACCACTGCAGTTTGAAGTCCGCACACGCCTTGCAGTTTCTGCTGGTACCACCGCACCTGCGGGTCCACTGCCCATCACTACAGTCATCATGACTTCATTAGACATTTTTTGCGGAAAACTCGCTTGCTGGCCAGTGGTGGCGACTAAGTTGAGCAGCCCCCCCCCTAATTAGCCTGTTCCATATTTTCGACAGGAATTCCTGTCATAATTTCTTTCTGAGCACTGGTGTTGACGGCAGTCCAACTTCACCCTCTCCAACTGTTTATAAGTCATCTAACTCTATGTTCTCTTCAAGCAGCTAGTAGCATCCCCATTAAAACTTTTGGTCAACGATCCAAAACTCTAGATCATGGTTTAAAACGTTTTTTCGAGGGGTATTTACTCTTACTGGCGTTCATGCCGCCATTCTCGATAACGATTTTATAACCTTTTTCGACCTCCTCGTTGATATCAAATGCTATAAACTACTGAACTCCATTACGTTCTTGTTTTCCAAGTTTTCAACTCCTACCGTTCCATCCCTTAGTCCATGCACTTCAACAATTCCTTCGTCCACTACCTATCACCATTTGCCTTCACAGCTTCCATCTCTCACCCGGCCTTCAAAATGCGACCAGCTCATTAACAATTTCGTCATGCTTTATATTTCAACTACCTGATCACTGGTTTTTAGTCAGTCTCGTCGTTTATCCGCCGATAAGTTAGCTCTCGCTAAAGCCGAATTCAGCTATATGATGGAACTAGACAGAGTGGGGCCTTCTACTAGTTCTTGGGCTGTTCCTCTGCATATGGTTTGCGGCAAGTCTCTCACTGACTAGCACCCATACGATGATTACCGACGACTGGACAATTGCTCTGTCCTCGGCAGTTATCCGCTCCTCAATCTCCATAATTTTTCCTCTAGCCTAGCTGGCGCAAGAATATTTTCCGTTATTAACTTATTCAAAGCCTTTCAGCAAATCCTCGTTGCTCCAGGGGACATCCCTATAACAGTGACTATGATTCCGTTCGATCTTTTTAAGTTCTTCAGGGCGTCTTTTGGCTTCCCCAACTCCGTCCAAACTTTTCGACGTTTCGTTAACGAAGTCCTCCACAAATTGTCCTTCGCTTTTGCGTATGCGATTATCTTCTGGCTGCAAGTTCCGGGGAACATGAACACCTACAACACCTACGTCTCATTTTTGAGCGATGGGTGTTTTTCGTCAATGTCTCTAAATGCGTTTTTGGCACTTCCTCGCTCTTGTTCCTACGACATCGCGTAGATGCTCTCGGTTTTCATCCCATAGACGCCACGTTTTCGGCTACTCGTGAGTTACCTATTCCGACTTCTTTCCGACAGTTGCGCCGTTTTATAGGCCTCGTCAACTTTGTCGGGTGTTTTATCCCTTACTGCGCTCAGTTGATGTTACCCTTCACTAATATTTTACGCGGCAGCAACCCGAAGTTTTCTTTTCCTGATACTGCCGTGAATGATTTCTGAAGTGCCCAAAAGACCCTTACGGACACAGCTGCCTTTTCTCGCTCTCTAACTGATGCCTCGCCACCCATTGTTGCTGACGCTTCCAATTGCGCCATAGATGCAGACCTCCAGCAACAGACCTCAACTGACATCCAACCCTTGGCCTTCTACTCTGCCAGATGGACACCTCCCCCTCCCAAACTCGCGGTAACGCTTTTGGTAGAGAATTCCTCGCCATTTTTATCGTATTTATCCTCACCATAAACCTCTTACTTATACAATTACCACTCCCTCGGACAAGTATTTACACCGAGAGGCAAGCTATCTAGATTTTACTTCTCCGTTCATTACATGCATTCGATTTCTTAAATGCCTTTCTAATTACGTGACCGACTATCGTTCTCGACCTGGAATTAATGCCATTGCTCTCCCTACCATCGACTTGTAGCACATGGCCGGACTGCAGCAACAGTCAATTTTGTTAGGAAGCCGAGTTGGCGAGCATACGTTGCTTTCGATAAATTCTCCTCAAGCCGCTACAATTATATGGGGACGGAGCGCAGACAAGCATGTCACTGATTGGAGATTCGATAAAGCTATTTTTAAAACACAGACGGGGCGACAGCGGAATGGCGCGGAAAGTTGCATGTGGTTAGTCATCCTTTGACTACGGTAAGCGTGGAGCCGGAACGAGGTTCTTCTGGGTGCATAGGGTCGGTTTTCGTAACCTGATAATGGCCGCTTCTGCTGTTGCCAGCAGACGCTGGCCCAGTAGCTTAGGATAGCTCGAGGGGAGCTTATAAATCACACGAAATGCTTCGCCGATGTCCATACGATGTCCTGAATCAACTGCATGCTCAAGAATGGCGCTATTTATGCTCCTAGTTTCGCATTTTCCCCACTATGCTGGGAGGTGTTCTCGTATTATTTTGGATAGGCACCGACTTGAGCATACTAGCCTTCAGATCAAGGCCATCCCTCTGTCCATCACCTCCGGTACAATCTCGTGACTTCGAGCAGTTTCTCTCGACCTATAGCATTAGGGGAGGTGCGGCGAGATGTTTTTCCCATATTGCAACATGGGAACTACACAGTGCATCGTCAGCGACCGTTTCGTCTGGGTCAGCATGAACACCGACATCCGACAGTGGATTCACTCATGTTTAGCCTGCCAGACATCCAAAATCGGACGGCAGAACAGGGCCCCCAATGACCCCCTTCTTCCACCCGAAGCACAGTTTTCACATGTAAACGTAGATCTGGTAGGCCCTTTGCCAATATTCCGTTGTTGCAGTTGTTTGCTAACGGCCATCGACCACGTTACGCGACGACCCATTGCAACTCCCATTCCGAATATAGCCGCAGCTACTGTTGCGCGCGCCTTACTGGAGCACTGTTGCCACCGGCTGAGGCTGACCTCCTTGGATGTTCTCGAATACGTACGACAACCTATCATCTCTCATACAACGGCTTAGCTGGTTTAGCGTTTTCACCATCAACTTAAAGCCTCGCTCCGGGAGGATGGCAACCTAAATCATTGGAGCGAGCATTTATTCCGGGTCATACTCGATATCCGTACTGCGCTTGGAGTGGTCCGCTGGCAAACTTGTTTACGCCACTATCTTATGGATTCCCGGACCGCGTCAGAACTTAACTGACTTGGATGCTACTGATTACGTTTAGGAGTTGCGCCAAACAACGGTTTATCTCCGACCCATACTTCCACGAGCTCCAGCCAGTGAGTCGTATATTGACACTGGCCTGCTAACGTTTTCCTTTGTATTTACCGGCAAAGATATTGCTTGTAGGCCACTGTAACGACCCTATGGCAGACCATTTCAAGTCCTATCGCGCGTGCATAAACAATTCAAAATCGTCGTTGATGATCACTCCGAGGCAGTGTCAACGGACCGCTCGGAGGTGACTTGTACCAAGTTTATTTAGCTAACTCCAACGCCCGCCACGGAGCCTCCTTTACATCCGATAACCCTGCGTATTCTCCTACCTGCCAATTCTTTCCCGTACGCGCAGTGGTCGTCATGTCCGTTTACTTGATCACCGACAACCTGTACATTATGCCTAATACTTAAGCCTTTTACTACCATTTTGCACTTCCATACTCCGTTCTCCTAGAAGGAGTTTAGTATTGCAAGGACATAAAAAGCGGTTTGTTTTAGTGTGCTAAAATACGCCTGTAGACTTAGACACAACTTTTAATAGCAAAGCAACATTAGGCTGCATCCTCGTGGCTAATCTGCGTCCTCTCACCTGACGGGGGTATATAACCTGTGGACATTGATCCTTTACGTCCAAGAATAAACCAGGTAATAATCAACTATCGCGTGCCGTTAGCCAGTCTGATGCCCGTTCGTTTCAGTGCATCTAAAGTGAAGCTCATTATGGAGTCCTGACTATTGGAACCCGCACACCAGGTGACCTCATCTGGTTTAGCTCGCTGGATGAAGCGATTGACAGGTTGTGGCCAGATATATAAGCCAGTGAGCGGCTGTGCTGAGCAAGCGCCACGTGCGACGGGTTCGTGGAAATACCTGTCACTCCTATCCCTACGTATCTTCCCACTGAACAACCCCTAAAACCCCTCCAGCGTTACAGAAACCTCCAGGCACACCACTCGGAGAGAAGACACTAACTTGCTCCGACAAACCTATAAAAGCAGCTGTCACCACAACTTCAGTAGACACGCCGGCGCACTTCCTGGCCTCGCCAGCGACATCTGCCGTCTACCACCGCAACTTGGTGCTTCGGACACTGAAAATCACTCAATCGAGTTGCTCGCAGCTTATTCTGCTACTAGGGACTTAGACTGGTGATTGTTGTGCGCAAAGTACACCCACTACTCGAGCCGCTACAGATGACTTTAAGATATGCCTGAAACACTTCAGTCATGGGAGCCGTTATTGGCCGTTTCGCAAGAGAAACGACAAGACTTTGCTAACTACAATTGGCCCAGTCAATTGCAGTTAAGAGCTAAAATAGGGTCAGTTAATCATGTTCTATTCCTTTGTTGATCGCCTCCCACGAATTATAGCCACTCAGGGGATCACCTCCAGCTAAGCAGGAGTGCTGAAGAGAACAATGGCAACAACCCTCAGATCATTGCCACCGCCAACATGTAGTGGGGACTAGGGGAGACTGAGTCGGATATTTCTCAAAGTGCCCTGGTTGCGACCGCTAGGGTGCTTTACCTAGCACTCAAACCACAGACGGGACCTCATACCAACAACTGCCATCGACCAAGTCGGGCGCAATGCTGCTGCAGGAGTTAGAAGTCAAATGCGTTAAGTCTGTGACTCCTGAGTGTGGCTGCAGTTTGGCTTCAGAGAATGTCCTTGCCTTTTCAGCCTCGAATGTACGCAAAAAATGAGGTTGAAGTAGATCACTTTATTTAGTAATTATTGCTCTGGTAGATGTAACAATGAAAGAAGTGTAAAGGACTGTCTCTAAGTGTATATATAATTATGCCCTACAAGGCGATTGTAGTTTCGGTCGCCGTAATACCCTCCTTCTTCAGGCGCTCGAGGATCGGTTTGTAGATTTCCGGTGCAAAAGGAAGTACGAAGCCCTTTTGTTTAACTTCCCCTTTAAAACACACAAATAATAACTATTAGTACAATGGAGGAGACGTTATACATCAGAAAATGAATATGTAATATAAACATTGGCAGTCTAAAACACATTCACTATAACAGTGAAAATCCGAAGACAATTGCTGCACAGCAGGATCAGACCACGAACTTCCGAATTCGTGTTGGATGCTGCGCGTATTAACCGATATTGTCTTCCTTCTGGTCCGCAAGTTGAGCACCTTATCTGTCAAGAGCGCAAGACAAACTACTCACACGGAGGCGGCCACTGGTCCTATTCGGTTAATTTGTGCGGTTATCAAACGTAACTGCATTGACTAGGGGGTGTAGTACCCGGCGCCAATTCGGGAGGTCTGCTGATTCAACTCCGTCTCGCAGCACATTCGTTTAATTACTTGAGCTTGCCCTATATCAAGTAGTAAGTCACCATTTTCCAGTGCATCGGAAGAGAAATGACTGTAGTCTGAGAGCAACAACGAGGTAACACCACTTCGGTTCCAAAAGGACACAGCTGGGGAAAGCAAACGCCCTACGGAGGTCCATTCTCGTGGTGGTGAATGAGGCAGAAAAACAGTTGGTCTCTGTTAAGCAGTAAGCTCCATGCAACTATTTGCTTCTGCCGAGCAAAACTTTTTTCAAGCTGTTAGTGCAGATCTGCTTCAGCACGTCAGACAGGTACGGGACAAACCAACAAATAAGCAGTAAGGCGACACTCGTGAAGCATAATGTGAATGCACTCTGAAGACAAGAAAGCTGCGGATATTCGCATGTGCGAACGGGGGGTCGTCTAGAAACGTGTGCGTAACTCCTGAGCTTTGTCGTGCGACGCATTCTGACTCTTAAAAATGCAAAATTTCATTAAAAAATGCTGTCCAGAAAACATCTTTAAAAGTATACTCCTTGACCATGTGCGTGAAAAAGGGAATCGCATTGGGCACTTTCGAGGGAAACTATCGTTGACACAAGAGATTCATTTTCTCACATTTCAGACTTTTTCTCGTTTTCAAAACCGTGATTCTGTGAAGAATCCCGAAGACTAATTAAAACCCTTGTTGATTGCATAGCCTTTTTGAAGCCTTCGTGGTTGTCCAATACCATGATGCATGAGTTAACATACGATAAGGTTCCCTATTGGTCAGCACTGCAGTGGAGTCCGGACAGTTGGTTTTATCTGAGAGGATATATACTGATTTTGCAGTTAGCAGAAGGCCCAGTTTGCCAGAAGGTTAGACAGTTTATAAATCTGCTCTGGAGCGCTCCTCTGCGCTCTCAGATACTAAAGTGCCTTTATTGTCAATTTGTTAGGGAGAAATAATCCGCCTATAATCTGAATGTCGTTTGTGTGGTAAGGCTTTTTTGGTGCGGGCAAACAGTAGGCCAAAACAGAAGATGGATGAAGTTAAAACAGTGGAACTCGACCAACCATTGAGAACCATTCGGGCCGCGATAGCTGCAGGCAGACCGACCGTGCGCGACATGGCTAGGCCGGCCTTACCCTTGCCCTCTTCTCCGTAGATCACCAAACGGACGATCTTTAGTTCGCGCCTCTTGTCTGGCCACTCGACCCCGATCTGGTGCGACATCACGATCAGGTCGCGCTCATTCGGTCCTACAGGTGGGTGGGAGGGGGATGACAGCAATTTTATGCATGAAAAATGGGCTATTTCAAAACGCTGACATGTGATCTCAACAAAGTCACTCTTCAGAGGGTTTACAGTCCACCTACCATAGGCGAGGATGTCAGAAAAGTGCAGTGACAGAGTTGAAAATGGGCTTCCGCACAGTTTGGCCACTTTGTCACTCAACAATCCCAGTCTGTCGAGTCGAGGAAGAAATAAAACGGTCCAGTTTTACATCCAGAAGATTTCGACAGATTATAAAAACAGTATTGAAACGTTAACTTAAAGAGGCAGTGACGACTGTTTTTAGAAAAAAAGCCAACGGAACCTACGCAAGAACTTCGTGCACAGTCTCCTCCGGCATGTTCAACTTCTTTCTAATTGCGGCCTCGACTGTTCCAACCGAGGATTTGGGATCCAGTCCCAAAACCACACACGTCACTTCTTTCTGTATGGGTAAAAACGCATTAACAGCCTCTTGGCATGCTAGCATGGAGGAACTTGAGCAGACAGAAAAAGTGTTCAGGTCTAAACATACCCAGGTCATCGAAGGGCCGGATGGGGAAAGCTTGGGATGCGGATTCTGGTCCATGAATCCCAGTTCAATGAGCGCCTTGATCACTTTCGTGAAGCCCTTATAACGCAGTGTGCCGCGAATCACCGTGTGACAATCCTTCAGTTTGTAGATGTCCTTGTAGGACGTGGAGTCGCGGTTGGGGTAGCCCTCGAGGTTAAAACCAACCAGATCGTTCATTGGGTGTGCGTGGTCCATCAGCGCCCCACCGGCTGGAATCTGTTTGACCTAAATTTCAATCAGACAGAGAACTACTACCGTTACTTGGGCCAAATGCGTCTTCGGCACACCCATTTACAAATTCAAGGCCACAATCCTCACCTCTCCGTTTTCCAGGTAGATGGCGCCGTTGAGGACGGTTGTCATCGCTGCCTCCGGACTCCAGCTGAACTTGTAACGCAGGGGATTGTCAGCGTACTCGGGGGCCGGGACACCGCCGGTATAGGACTCGTAAGAGACGACCTTCCCTCCCTTCGCGTACGTCTCGTCGAAGCACTCCATTGCGAGCAAATGGTCTATTCCGGGATCAAGGCCTATCTCCATGAAAGCCGTCATTCCAGCATCCTTGATCCTATTCAGTATTGGATAAAGTCAAGTCTAATGCTGGTTTCTCATTTGTTTAGTAATTCTCAAAGACTGCTGATTGTGAACAGTTAGGATGCAAAGGTAAGCAACTGGGGGGACTCACTGTTGTTCCATTTCACGGAGTGCCGGAGAACAGTAGCTGGCAGTGAGAACATTTTTCTTGTGCTTGATGCAGACAGCGAAGACCTGAGGATGGAACTTCCAGGGGACCATGCTCATGACGAGGTCGTGTTCAGCAACCAGTCTGCCCAATCCTTCGGTGTCCTGTAAAATGTCCAGCTGCTTCACGGGGACATCCGGATAGGCCTTCTTGATGTTCTCCAGGTCGGACACCAAATTGGAAACTATGTTGGTGAGGAATAAACGCAAACAATTAGTACATCTCAGGAGGACTATACTACGTAGTAAAAACAGGGGAGATTTGATGTGCGAGGTGACCTACCAACTGTAACTTGAATCTGAGGATCCCGAGTGAGATAGCCGACAATCGGCGGGACGACATACCCAGCGCCAAGAATTAGTACTCTGTGTTTTATTCCACTTGCAGCCTCCTTCTGTTTACGCAGATCCGCGATGTATTCGAAACGTGGGGTGAGTTTGCCATTAGATGCGATCGTGCACTGAAAAGTTAAAGGGAAAGATCTAGGCATGCACGATGTCAAACTGACGATGCCCAATGTTAAACGAGGTTGGCGTAGTTTTTAGCATAAATGGTACTGAATCCTTATGTCTAACGCATACTTCCATGGAATGACTATATGTTCATGCTGAGAGTCGGAAATCGACTGTTCGTACAGTATTTGAAACTTCGTTATGGAGTTATTACTATGTGAAGTCGGTCGAACAACCAAAATCTCATCTAGTCTATTTTGGTGCTGAGGAAATCTGAGGTAGATCTCGGATTTCTCCCACTAAGGCCTATAGAGAATTCTTGGGTGCTGCCAACCTACGTTCTTGATAACTGGACCGGCCTTGAATTCTTCAAAGGGCGTGTTTGCGTCAGAGAGTAGCATGTCGTCGATGTAGGGCATGAGGCCATCACCGAAGAAGGTGGATGACTCGACTGGCAATTGTGTTGGCATATTGTCAATAGAACAGACGAGGAAGCCATCACCGGAGATTCTAAAATGAAATGCACGAAGATTCTATCATGAGGCCTCACAGGCAGTTAATACTCTGCGGTTTATGGACAATACCTAAGTCCTCTTACGGACAAACACTTGCTGTATCTCAATCAAGTTAATTGACTGCGAAAGCATCAACTACAACATTGGGTGTTTTAGGTGGTCGTTGAGACGACTGAGTTTTCACCAGACTTACCCTTCAGTCTCTGTGTCGGTCTCTGGGTTGTAGACCACGAAGGGTTTCTCGATGGTAGTGCAGGTCTGCATGAACTCCAGGGATCCATTGGGGTCCGCCGAAATGTCACAAACAGCAATCAGACGTTGAGGGAGCACAGGAGCACCTGGAAAGAGGGCAAGACCGCTGTTAAGATGGACCAGATTTACGCACTTTATTCAAGCACTTAGTGGGCCTATTTCAAAGGTTTCAGGAATCCTCACTAGAATCGTTGTTAGCCAAGGACCAGACGAGGGGTGATACCAGTCAAGCCTGCCAAAATTCCCAATGTTCGGGCTTGGCGCAAACCGTGGTAAGACGATCAAGAGTAGGAACTTGAGCTGCCAGTTGCAGAGAGGTATGGTGTGCTGGCCATCGATCTGTCCTAGACGAGATGTTTGCAGGACTTCTAGCCAACAATAAGGGCAATTACGGATCTCCAATCCAGGGTTTCGCAAATTACTTCCTGGCTTGCAAGGATCTTTCGTGTCGTTTAATGAGGCTTTTGTCTGCGCGATAGAGAACAGGCATCAATACGAACAACTAGCCCGATATGGGACTTTAAGCAATCACCAGTCAGCCTGTCCAGAAGATTACCTTCTCCATTAACCTAAACACTCTAGCCAAATCTCGGGGTTTTGTCAAAACCGGCAACCGCCTTTTTTGTCTAGCGACCTACCAGTGGAGGCGACGTACTGGTGGCACGGTTTGCCGGTAACCAGCAGTCGCCTGCAGTCCTCCACCGTGAGGAGGCGGGGATCATTTGGGCGCCAGAAGACACCGTTGACCAGGACAGACATGTAGGGAGCATACTATGGGGTGGAAGAGAAAAATACCAGCGTAAACACGAAAGGCAGACAGTAGTAACAGCATTCAGCTGCATTTATCGATAGATAAGACACCCAAATTAAGGAAAACAATCAGGCTACATTTCCACAATGACGGCATTAGTTAATACCACTTCTTTGATGCAGAACATTCCTCATGAAACAGTGGTAATTTCTAGACCTGAGCATCGGCATTTGCTAGGGGTGGCTTATTAAAACAGGAACTGTAGTTTATACTTTAGGTCGTCTAGAATACCTCTTCGGGGAAGATCGTTCTGTAGTTCTGAGGATGCGCCAAAAAGTCGGCCATGTCGAAGTTTCCGGTCTCCTTGTGACGAAGGTGGTCCTTTTCGGAAATAACGACTCCGTATACAATATCCGTCCCTATTTGTAGAGAAAAAAATGCATCGAGGGCATTAGTGGTCCTCAAAATGATATCCAAAAAGGTGACAAACTACCCACTTGTCGCTAACACCTAGCAAGCCGAGACGTTTTTTGTTAGGGGCAAAAGAATTCGACCACCCCAGTAGCAAAGGCAAAAGTCTTCGTAGTTAAGCGAACGTAGGCCCACAAATTGGTTTGGAACCTTCCAACTTAATGCGTTGTCTTAGGTTGCTTGACAAAAAGCCGAGAATCTGATTGTGCGAATAACTATTCGGCAGCGTTTGACGTGATCTAGTCTATATTGGTTTGGGGGCACGCTTACTTCACTGTTGAATCTACACCAAACCTTAATTAACAAAATTCATCTCCGGATTCGTGGTTTGATATCGAAACTGTTGCTTTTTAAGTTTTACAAGGTCATGCAAAAAACAGCTTCCATACTAACGCCACATTCCACTGTCGTGGAAATTTACGTGGGTCACCACTGCTATGGGTGGCGACCCGCGGGGGACGCGATCATAGTGCAGCCAGTTTACGCAGCATCGAACTCGCCCTGTTTTGTGATAGTCATCGTGTGTGTAAGTGACAAAACAAGGTCAGAAAGATAGGCATCCTACGGGGGGGGGGCACAGCAGCTACGTGTCGACGCGACCCGAACACGCAAATTCGGGGAGACATGATATTCGCAACATCCCAGACTCAGGTAATCTGTTTATGAAGAAACCACTGGAGCCTTGTCCTCTCTTAAGCACATTGACGATTTCCTCAGTTGGCAATCTCACGACCTTTAGGGAGCCACGCGAGTACGCCATAGGCACACCTATCACCCGCGCGCCAACCGTTATAGTGTTTTTGTCTGCCAGTCTCGTTTGTCTATGAATGAAGCCCATCCATGCCCACTTCGTGGTTGATAAACTACTGAACTGCAGGATACTCCATTGAAAAAAAAAGTCTCGTGGGATGGTGGAGTCTGAATGTCGCGAACAAAGCAACGCGAATGCGCTCGTCAAGAATCCTTCCGGTTACTTGATGATATGGTAGTTTGTGCGTGAATTAAATCACACTGAAGCAGACAGAAGGCATCCACACACGCTTTCACCATCCACCGCAATCGATGAGAACGCAACTTCCTGAAGAGGTAACGCCCACTTGCTCGTAAACTGGTTTTTTACGAGGAGGACTTGCGTGACACCTACTTCACTATGCTTTTTAAACATCGACCACGTTCCAATGGCAAAGCAAGATCAAGACAACTGGTGCCGAGCGAGGGCGCAGTGGCTGGCGTTGCGAAACCGACGTCTGCGTGCACCACACACGTTCTCGTGCCTACACACGTGAATCCAGGTTCAAAAATAGTAGCCGGATACTTTGCTGATATGGATTGTCATAAATGTTACATTGGGAATGGACCGCTGCAATCTGACTGTCGGGGTTAAGTCGAATTCACTTATCGCTTCGGTTGGCGACCTTCCAATCTCCTCCTTCTCTTCCTATTATGTGCCAGTCGTCTTGCCCAAGTCAGACCGACTGGTGGATGAGGCTGTATGCAGTGGCTGACGTGAAGCAGAACTGCCTTCTAACATGTGCCACATACGAGAAACAAAATACACAGACGCAAACACCGAATTTAATGCGAGGGACAACATACTTCCATGCATGGCAGTCTCCTTCATCTCGGCTGGCTGGATAAACTTGTGCGGCAGGAGGCGGAAGATGGCCCGCGCTCCCTGGGACACATTGCCTAGACCAGTGAAGACGAAGATCAGGGGGCCGATCGAGCGCGGCATCTGATTCATGGCGATTCCATAACCCGCCATCTGGACGGCCTGGCGTGCCAGCTCCATGGAGGAGTAGTTGTGCGGCATGGCCACATTCTGGTGGGGATAGGGAGGAGGAGTTTATTAACAGAGAGAGAGAGAAAGAGATGTCCAGAAGTCGCCACGTACGTATTTCGATCACTTCACTACGAAGTTCTGTGCAACTTTTTACAGTTTTTTGCAGATATGTTCCGTCCGGGCTATAACATTGAGTTGTGGGTCAACAGCCAGATGAAAGTGTCTTGTTAGTCACTTGCATTAAAAAGGACTTTAATGCCGTGAAGGCGATAATGCTGAGTACATGTTTTGGTTGCAGTGGCAATAGCGATTTGGTGAGCTGCTTTCTACAAACAGGTGAGGATCGACTTACCATGAAGGGTGTCGTGTGTCCCAACGCCAGGAGACGCTGGCCGAGGCCGTGGAGAATGTCGATCATTCCAGAATAGCCGGCAAACTTGCCAAACGCCAGGACACGGAAATTGTTTTCACTGACCATGCACTCGTAATCCAAGATACGAATATTCTGGAGGGAAATGGAATAAGATAGGAAAACCAGTCTGTTAGTTTCGCTTTGTCTAACAAAATCAGTTTTTCTCACTTTGATGGCATATTCGGTAGTTTTTGGCTTTAGATTTGGCAAAGAGCTGGTCAGGCCTTCAGAGAGTAAACTTGGGCTGACAGGGGATCGTTTGGGGAGCTAATGTCTCCATTTGGCAATTAAGTGGGGAGGCCAAAAATGTCCCTTTCCTTAGAGTAACGCTTAAGATGGCTGGTTGTTTAGGTTTTTGACAAATCCTATTCCGCCCTGTCCTTATTTCTCAGGCAGGTGGATATATATGACGGAAGAAAATACTGGGCGGTCTTTTTTAATTTCTTCTGCGACTAATGTATGAATTTGGTGTAAATCCTTCGGATCAAAGCTTTTCAGGCTTCCAGCTGGTAACTGTGCCGTCGATGTGGTATATCATTCAGTATTTAAACACTAGGAGCTCAGACGTATTGGCAAACCACTGAGTGGACTTAGGATGAGCCAAGAACATTTGAAACCGTCGTCGAATAGTGCGATGCGTACTGATGCGTTTTGTACAAACTTCTCCTCAAACTTGGGAATCATGAAGAATACGGCCTTATTCACCTATTTTTCGTGGAATTTGCGGCCACAGCAAAACAACTCCAAACTTAAACAAACTAAAAAATTTTTCCTTCGAGCTTTAAATGTAGTACCTTACAAGTTATCAACGTTTATTGTTTATGAGGAAAATTCTCTCATTGCAAACATAACTAGACAAGTAATTACTCAAAAGGTGATAATACGGAATTTTTGGATCATAGGCCTCCTGCTGGACGCATAGGAGCGAGGTCCAGATAGGGACTTGGATCACCAGCTCATCGAGATATAGCTGATCGTTGTTTAAAGTGCGCACTAGAGTCCAACATCGGGGAGTGATCTGCATTCAGAAAACGGACGTCGGTTCGCAACCGCAGGCCTAATTCCGTCTACCAGTGGTGACTTGACAACTGCGTCGCCGCCCCCGTCGGCATATAACGTACGCGACCCGAATCACAGGCTTTGGACATCTGGGGAGGAAGGGGTCGCCGCGTTAATTCCGGGCCGAAGAACCATGAGCCAAACAGCCCACGTCCGAGAAACGACTCATCAATCCAATGGCTTGTTAATGTGTGACGGCAGAGCACGCGGATCGAGACATTCAGTCAAATATTATTCCTGTTCCGACGGTCGGAGCTTATTATCCACCTCATTCATCGTCACATCGTCGCAAATAAGCTGCTGTTTCTGGGAGAGAACCCCTTGGTGGATAAGGACCGCTCCTAATCACATAAATTAACCCGGGGATATGTTGACAGAAAGGAACTTTGTCCACTGATTACACTTAACACCTGATCTGGGATCGTGTTTGACCCAACTTCATCATAAATTAGGCAGGTGTCCGCATTGATGATGAAAACAAGAAACAGAGGAAGCACACATTGAGCTTTCTCACAGAAAAATACAGTTATCCATGTTAAGGACACGATCGTCTAAATTTCTATGAAGGTAAGAACGATATTGGCGTGTTGTATCTCGCAAGCAGCATGAACCAATTGTAGGGACCTCAAAATTGACTTGGAATTGTTAAGTAAATGAAATTCAAATAATTTTTGACGAAGAGAATTTGGAATCAATATGAGACGAGGAGTTTTGTTTTTAATCTAAGTTTCATTCGTCATCATCTTTTACCGTTGCTTATTAGAAGATCCCCCTTTATGTATCTCAACCAAATGAACTAAACAAGTCAGTGGTCTCAATCACTAAGCGGATAGGGATTAATATGCTCTAGATTTTCTCTATACAAACATTTGATTCAGACTAAATTCTCCGGATTAATAATAAGGCCCACGCAGGGTTTGTCGATATGCCTGCTTAGTGTCGTTCGCTGTTTTGAGTATTCTTAATCTTATTTTGATCCAAATGTGAAGAACTCGATGACCTCGGTAGGATTCGAACCCCCAACAGGAAAGGGAAGGCTTGAGTAAGGTACCTGACTGGCCCCGCATCAACTCTTTATTTTCCCTAACTCTTTTCTCTCTTCCACAGTCTTGGATTGGGATTCGATGTTCATCAGTGACAGAGAATAAAATTAGCAAAAGTGCGTTCAGAAAGGCAAAAGCAAGTACTTTTCACCGTATGATTCAGCATACCGACAGCATAGGTGTTAGTAAACGCCCAGACACGTGTGTTTCGCCAATCATGTGCCGCTGCATGACTCAGCTGCTGGGTGTTCTGCTCGTCAGTTGTTCCTCCAGCGTTCCCCATGTGGCTTCTGATACAAACTCCAGTTTCATTGTCGACTTATATCATTTACTCGGAAGGATTTACTCCATATTCGCGCGTTCATTTCCAAGGAATTTAAAAAAGGTACTTGTCACTGTCTACGCCGATACCTAAGCGGAAACCTGTGGGGCGACGTCAGCGATTGGCATTTTTCCCATAATTGCCGCCATATCTTTGTTTGAGACCCTATGAAAAGTTCACTCATGTTGAATGCTATTGTTAGCCATAATAGTCTTCACTACTTAAAAACGAAGCATAGCTACGTTCGTGCTTTTATACTCCCCTATTTGGTCATCAATAAGGATCGGATGATGTAAATGTGGGTATTGGTGCAAACTCACGCGTTCCAGTATGGTGTCCAGAAGTTCCATGTTCTCCTTTTGAGCTTTGATGGTGTGTGTGAAGAAGGCGTAGGTTTTGTTGGGCAAGAGGTCGTCTCTGGTGAGGCCAACAGGTCGCTTGACGCCCAGGATCACAGTGGCCGCACTGAGGTCCTCGTTGATTTCGGCGCCCGCGGCTAGATACTCGTCGCATGTGAAGACTCGGCGATTTGATGGCTGCACGATGACCCGGATGCCTCGGCGGACAAGGGTCTCGACATGACTGGGTGTGAGGACGGCTCTACGTTCCCAGAGGTTGACAGTCTCTCTGGGAATACCAACCACCGCAGTGGGCTTCTTGTTCATTTTCAGTTAGTTTGCCTTTCGTGGAGATTTGGAGAGGCCTTAATAACGATATCTAGCATGCATGCGTAACTTCCGCTACCTTGTGCGCAAAATGCTCGGATACGCTGGCTCAATGCGATGGCTTGCTGCTGCTGTTAGCTGGATATTGGCTAACCAATGACGAACGGATGTCGTTCGTTGTTTGTGCGAAGTTCTTCTAGTCGATATTGATTGGCCAACGATTGACAGGCGATATATGTAGTTTTGCAAACTTTGCTCAAGTTTCTGACTGCCCGCAGTGCTCACGCACATCAGCGCGACAACAACTGACGACACTCTTTGTAATCTCATAAATCTATTTTGCCTCCCCGTTCTTGTTGAAATTAGATCCTGTACCGTGTTTAGACGGTAGATCTTCTGGCAAATTACCGAGATAGATCACGAAATAATAGAGCATGTTAGAAGGCACCGTATTTCTTCGGCCTAATCTTCTAGGTGAAAGTCAGGTAGTTGAGTCAACAAAGAAGAGAACGCCTTTTTCTGTCCAGCGATTGCTTGCATGGGAATCAATATCTCCTGGACGGTTGGAAGTAATTTATCCGCAAGAAGTGTCAATGTGAATGAACAGGTAGGCATGAGGGGAAAGTCTGACCGTGAACTGTCGGACCTTGAGCACCTCATCGACATTTAAAACCTTGCTACTACCTTTTATGGAGACTAGGCAAAGATAGCACTTAACCTCGAAACATTAGGTGGTGGAGGACTTATCCACCTCAGCTTGGATATACACAGTTGTAAAAAGCGGGAAGTTTGAAAGGTGGACAGGTAACAGCAGCAGCAGCAGCAGCAGCAGCAGCAGCAGCAGCAGCAGCAGCAGCAGTAGTAGTAGTAGTAGTAGTAGTAGTAGTAGTAGTAGTAGTAGTAGTAGTAATGCAGACTTTTATGGACGGCACATCTTTTATATTGGGCACAAAAAAGAATTTTCGTCCATTTTGGCTGGATTTTAGATCTTATGTTATGGACAGCGTTCTCCTCACAGGTATCTGCTTTGGTATCTCGAAGGCCGAAGATTTTAATTCTTGTCGTAGTCTTAACTCAGACACTTATGCCTGTTGAGTGAAAAGCTTGGATACCATAGCATAAGGGGTAAATACTACGGGTAATAAATAAGTTATCACTAGGGTTGCAGTAGCGAGAATTTCCTGGCAGCAAACTCAAATTGTTGACAAACGTGGCAGTTGACAATAATGAAGGGTTCAGTATGAGTTCTGGGAGAGACGCCTTAACTTGGGAACAAATGATCGGCTTAGACAGGAGGTATCGTCATACAATGCAGCTTTCTCTTTTTCTGACACTCTTTATTTACTTCACTTGGAAGGTGTTACGAAACCTGTCTATTTACGTGATGAAGACACTCGATTTAAGAGTTACTGAAGATCTCCCCTGACTGTTACAAGCCTTAATAGTGGCCTCCTCTCTGATGACTTCTGAACGTTTCTTGAACTAAGGCATCCGTGTGATATCCGTCTGAAAGCAAACGTGGGAGGCTTCAGAGCACATCCTCTTTTCCTGCAAACGAGTGTTCTGGCCCTAGAATATACTTACCTAGGCACCACCACAATACAACTCTTTGTTTTCATCGGTTTATCCGTGTTTGGCATACTCTATACAGTTTATTCGTCATACTGCAGCAACGTTTTTAAGCATTGCGGCGTCCGCCAGAGGAGCCCTCAGGTGCAATAATGTGGAACCCATTGCGGCAAGCCTTTGCAGTCTCGAGAGGATTTTCGATCCCTCGGCCACTCGCACTGTTAGCACAAATACTTGATTGTCCTTCCAAACTTATGACTTTGAAGAGGATGTGCATATTTATTATAGGAGGATCAGTGTAAGGCAAGTCATCTCATATAAATTATTTTGAAAAGAGACCAAAACTTGGCTTGCATGTAGCACGGCTACATTCTGTTGTCGTATGCACCTTATATGTGCCTGTTATTCATTTGTGAATTTAGGTGTCTCCGCCGCACAGAATGTTGCCAAAAAAGGACACAACGACAGTTTGAAAAAGCCCTTAAGTGCCCACTCGAACAAGGTCCTGACAACTGTGCACCAACCTCGCAAACGTTAAACAAACACGCGTGGCACAACCGGTCCACTGTCGCAACCGTCGAGGGAAATCACTGTAATGGATAGGGTCCAGTAGTGAGTTGTGTGCGCATTTATGATGATGCGGATCTTCATCGCATTTACCTCGTGTGATACTTCCAGATACTATACGGACAACGGTCAAAAGGTCTGAAAGCGTGTGCTATGCCAGAATCAGCAAACTATGGCCCTCGCAGCCTGGTATGCGCTGGCAGTTCCCTGACACCTGGTTCCCCGCCGATAGAGGCGTTTGCGCTCCCGCTGGGTATACAGGTGGTGGGCATGACTGCCCAGTCATCCTCGTCCTTCTGGCCCCTGTTGGGGTGTTGTTGTTGTTGTTGATGGTGGTGGTGGTGGTG